AGTTTACTGGTGTGATTATATAAAATTTGCAATTTATGCCGCTACAAAAAGAATATTTCAAAAAAAATTATAATCTTATATCGGTCATATCTATTATGATTAGGCACAGAAAAGAATTGATGAGAAGATATTTCATAGTGTTCCCGACTTGTTAACATTTATTATCGTCAGGAGAACAACAAGGTGATGAGCGAGAAGGCCCTCTCCATTATTCCAACACAAGAGGAGCGAATGAGCCTAAAAGACATTGCACCAGAAGAGTTTCTGGAGATCTGTGAGAAGAATGGTCAATTTCGCGTAAGCTGCATGCGTAGCGAGGGAAGTTTAAAGAGGCTGCGGGTATGTTCATTCTTTTCGGGCTTAAAGGATGATGATGTAATCGAAGCGTTACAGTCATTTTATAATTATGCAGGGTAAATGTTCTGAAAGTACAGTACAATGGCAGATACCATTAGTCCAAGTAACATAGAGTTGCGCAATCCTATTTGCACAACTTTTGAGACTCACTAACAATTATCAAAGTTGCTGAAGAGGTCTGAGAGGTGGAAGGTCCTGATGGAAGAATTTCGGTTATACAACGCTTATTTAGAAGAAGTTCTTAGTAAAATTCACAAATGCATGCAATTTTTCAGAATTCGAGAGGAGTTTGTTGCTGAATTTCGTGCAATAAATATATGGCTGAAGATTCCCCAAAGATCTGATATCCAGTTTGAGTACTTGCATAAACGTTTGCCTTTCCTTATATAGATGCGCGTCGAAATGTCAACAATTCGATAATCCGCCAGGAATTCGAGGACATTTTTGTTGTAAGCAAGGTAAAGGTTCGTGAGCAGAAACGGAAATGTTCTTTTGACAACCCGTTTGTTCATCTTATTTACGAGGATACGGCAGAAAGTATGGACTACTGGCAAGAATATGATGTGGAAGTTGTGCACCAGGTGATCTCACAATTACTTGCATCATATACATACGATCTCCTCTTGAAAGTCAATCTGAAGGTAGAGATAATCCTTTCGTAAGTAGTTATATCTGTAAAGATGCAAAATCATGTCAAAAGACGGATTTCCGAAAACATGACGTAGTTCCGTCACAATCGATGCTATACCAACGTCTCACACTTGCATGTCTCCAATATACCGTGATGCGACAATGGATTTATTATACCGTGGCCGAATTCTTAAAGATGAGCAAAGTAAAGAGGTTCGTCCTGCAGAAAGGTAGTGGACTGAAAGACTGATTAATTATTAAATCACCAGACAAGTTATCCTGAGGTCACTAATATGGTGCATGCTAATCATACGTGGTATGATTAATCGAAACCGCTGATAAGATATGGCTAGGGAAATTATCCAATGAACCCAGTAACTTCTCGGTCATGTTAAAATGTATGTTCGTTTTCAGCAGTTGCGGGAAGAATGGTGCATTGATAAGTTTGATTGGGAGATTTCAAAAACAATAGAGATTTCACACCCTAATGATTTACCCGTCGGTTATGATTACTATGGATATCCTAAAGAGATTCCAGTTGAAAAGTGGCATTCGTCATTCTTTTCTTGGCTCCATTCTAATCATTATAATTGCGTTATTAATGCGATCATGCACATAAAGAAATTATTTAATACGCTATCAATCACGCTGAAAGAGTCAACTTAATTACATCTGATACCTTTTCAGACTTTGTATCTCTTGTGGAATTTAAAGTTTCATTGGTTTTTGCAGTCGCTCCTGGATATTGCAATTTGCCTACCTCGTTAATTATTTTGACGCATTTACTATAGTGCCGCTCATTCCGGATTGTCAAAGACCATACGACAGGGAGAACTATAATGCTGCAATAAAATTCTCTAGAACAAATTCAACAACTCTCGAATACTTTATCTATTATGTACGGATCTACCAATATCAGATGATCATCCTTCTGCTGATACAGCTCTTAGTACTTATTGGCATGAACGAACTCACTTTTGCGACGAGGATATTTAATCTTTTAAAATACCTGAACAATAAATTCTCTTTTATAAATATAAGATCAAGAAATACATGTAG